TCCTCACACCTCACTTCATAACTGTCCCTAAACCCCACTCTCAAGGAGGCAGATTGGAGACTTGCTCTCCAGTCTCTGCGTACTTGGCTCCCTTGTGAATGAGGTCTGTACCTTTGCAAAACACACACACACACACACACACACACACACACACACACACACACACAGAGCACACATAATGCTAAATCTCAACACCATCACCCAACCACAGAAAAATGTCCATTAAGACTACCATACCTTAGTTTGCCTAGAAGTTTTAATCTGCATGTTTGACCTCCATATTTAATGGACTTAATTCAGAATTCAGAAAGCAAACTGTACATATAATACTTTCCTTGAAATGTAAAAAAAAATACAGAATAAAAATGACAACATCCATATGGCATAAAAAGAGTTTTAAATTAATTGTTGAAAATAAACTCAGACTTTCTACAAAAATATTAAAGGACAAACTTGCTTGTAGTCCCTTCTCAGCTCGGTGCATTTTCTCTACATTCCCATACAATTCCACTTCAAAAATGTTCACATTATGTTCTATTTGCTTACATGAAGAACAATTCCTGCCCTGATGCACTATCCACATATTACAAATACTTTTGACTTCATCAATTAAATAAAGTCTTCCTTGAATAGGTTAATCAAAGAAATTTTTGGACTTCTACTTGTAGTAACAGCAAGTCAGGCAATTCAGACCAACCATCTATCTGAAAAAATTTTTCAAAGCTAGGAGAGATTTAAAATAATCTTAAAAGCAGCAAATAACTACCAACATAGTGAGAAATGTACAACCAGCTCAAATCCACTACAAGACAGAAATCCAGAGAGGTGATCACAGATTTGCCTTTTGCAAGTTTACCAACAAAGAATAAGCATTTAAGCTTTAATGTTTTTTGCTTATATTTCAAAACTGGGGAGCCAAACATAAGAGTCCCAGACCCCCCTTGGGTGAAGACTATAGTGAAAATACCATTGGCTTTTAGCTAAGATTCTCAAGGGCTGCACTCTAGGAATAAGACGGAACCAGAAGGACAGTGTAGTGCTTTCTGTCACTCTAATAAAATACTCAGAGTATAAAATAATAACAGGAGCAATAATGAGGGAGGAGAACAAATAAGAATGAGTTAAAACTTGTTACAATATTATATGAGTAAAACTGGAATGAACAGAATTAAATGCATTGTCTAGGAAGAGGATATAGGTATCAATTAAATTAGACATTATAAGATTTATAACTGTAAATGGCTGGGAAGGTGAGATAAGAGAACAATTAACAAACAATGCAAATATAAAGTACATAATAAAATAGGAGATTTAAATTCAACTATATCACCTAACATATGTAAGAATAGAAAATTACATAACTGCAAGCAGTAATAAAAAGCTGGAGTTATTCACAAATAGTTGAGAGAGCTACAAAGAGGGGAAATCAAACCCTCAGTCAAAACGAAATATCTAAGGTACTCTTTAGTAATTAGCGGGAACAAACAAAAGATCACTAATAACACTTAAAATATGAAATACAGAATTAACAAATATATTAAAAATATAGAACACTACATTCAATACAGACAAAAAAGACAGTATACAGTTGGCTTTCTGTACCAATGAATTCTGCATCTCCTGGATCAAAAACAGAAAAAAACCGTGTCTATACTGAACTTGTACAGACCTTTTTCCTTGTGATTGTTCCCTAAATGCAATATAACAACTATTTACATAGCATTAAACCTATTATATACAGTTGGAAGTACATAAAGTTATATGCTAATTCTACAACATTTTATAAAAGGAACCTGATCATCTATGGATTTTGGAATCTGCAGAGTCCTAGAACCAATGTCCTATGGGTACCTAAGGAGGAATGCATTGTACTGGAGCCATAATGTGGAGATCAAAGTCTGAAAAACAGACCTTTGAAACACGAGTGTTTCCTGGGTTATACTGCAATGATATGAGTACTTTAAAACAAACAGAAAAGTAACTAGAAAATCTCTGCATGTTTAGAAGTTGAGAATACAATACTTCCAAATAATCCAAATGTCAAAGTAGACTCCATAATGAAAATTAGAAAACTTTTTAAGTGAATTACAAAAATACTACATAACAAAAAACACTACAAACCAAAACTAGTAATACCTCTACTAGTTAAACCAGTGTTTAGAACGAAATGCTTAGCCTTAAATAAGTGTATTTAAAAAGAGAAAATGCTGAAAAGTAATGGAATACAAGAAGTTAGAAGAGAACAGCCAAGTAAACTCCCAAAAAGTGGAAGGAAGGAAATAATGAGAAGAAATTAATGTAATAAAAAAGGAACATACAATAGAAAGGATTAGCAAAACTCAAACTTTGGTTCTTTGGAAAGACTCAATCTCTTGATTCCTTTTGAAAGGAAAAAGAGAAGTTACAAATAACCTATGTTGGAGATAAAAAGTGAATTCTTTCCAGTAGCCATTTAAAAAGCAACAGAATATTTATTATAAATAATTTGTCAGTAAATTTAAGTTTATATGAGAAAGGTAATTTCTTAGGGATAAAATAGCCAAAATAATCACAAGACAGAACACCTGTATGGGTTTACTGAGAAATTAAGGGCTGGGGGTGTAGTCTGATGGCAGAGAGATAGTCTAGCATGTATGAGGCACTGGGTTCAATCAATCCCCAGGATAAGACAGAAGACAGAGAAATTGAATTATTGACTAAAAACCTTTCCACAAAGAAAATTCCCAGTCCAGATGGTTTCTCTGCTGGATTATAACAAACATTTAAGGAAGAAATAATTCCAATTGTGCACAAACTCTTCCAGAACAGAAATGTGGGTCAATTCATTTTATAAGCTAGAATATGTTCATTTCAAATCCTGACAAGGACACTATAGGCAATTTCACTCATGAGCAACATTTCATGACTTAGTCCATTACTTCATCAAGGTCTTTCAGCCCAAAAGCGTCCCCAGAATCCCTGCCTTCACTAACCTATTTAAAGCGTCCCGTTAGGCTTTATTTCCTGCACCTATTTTATTTATTTCAAAGCCTAACTACTACCTGGTATTTGTGTGTATGTGTGAGTGTACATGTACAATACTAGCTATGTCCCCTATTAAAATTTAAGCTCAAAGAGAACATAGCTGTTTTATTCACTATTGTTGCCACAGTATCTATGTACAGCAGGCACTCAAAAATATGGTTTCTTTTGTTATTGTTTGTGGTGCTGGGAATTGAACCAAGGGTCTTGCTTATGCTAGGCAAGCACATACTGACCTATACTCTCAGTCCCTAAAAATATTTGTTAACCAATGACATTTACATTCGGGTTTCTTGATTGAGAAAACAGCCCCAGATATCCATAGATGCTGTATACTGAGACTCAACCAACAGTAAGTTAAAAATATTTGGGGAAAAAATTACATCTGTACAGCTTTTCTTTTCTTGTCACCATTCTCTTAACAATATATTATTCCCTAAACAATTCCCTGACGGCAAACACATAGCATTTACATTGTATTAGGTACACGATGAGTACCCCTTATCCAAAATGCTTTGGGATTGGAAGCTTTTCAAATTCCAGATTTTGGAATATTTGCATATGCATGAAATATTTTGGAGATGGACCCAAGTCTAAACATGAAATTCACCTTATACACATAGCTTGAAGGTAATTTTACACAATATTTTTCGGGTGACCTGTCACGTAAGGTTGGTTAGGTGTGGAATTTTCTACTTGCGATGCCATATTGGTACTCAAAGTTTGGGATTTTGGAGCACTTCAAATGTTTGGATTAGTAGTACTCAACCTGGATTACAAGTAATCTAAAGATGATTTTAAAAATATGGGAAGATGTGCACAAGTTATTTGCAAATACTATGCAATTGTATGTAAGACTTGAACATTCACGGAAAATCCAGGAATCAATCCCCCTAGGTATCAAGGGATGACTGTAATGACAAAATCACTACTAGAATTCAGAAAAGCTTTCAAATAAATTCATATTCTATTAACCATAAGAATATCATATACATACTTTGGTAGTAGGAGTACAATGTAAATAATTTAGGGTTCAATAACAACCTTTGAAGGAATGGGGGCAGGGTCTTCCATTTCTGTTCTTCTCCAACTTTCCTTTCTGTGTTAGGTGCAAAATAATTCTTTCTGTAAGTGGCCATACCACTAACCCAGACAGGATTCTAGATATTAAACTTTAAGAACAAAAATAGAGTAATGCATGAGACACAGAAAAACAATACCCATAGAACTTGATATAACAGAAGCACAGATTGTAAAGTTGCAGACTGATAGAGAAGCTGATAAGCTTTTTAGGGTTCGGTGTTTCAGGAAGGGTTCAGCAGTGTGGTACTCAATCACTGGTGCTACTCAAATACAAAAGTCTTCACTTTATTTTGTAAGTGAAATATGGTAATAAGTCTCAATGTGCTATAGTAATTTGCTACCATGAGATAGGCTAGCCCCCAGAACAAAACCAAAACAAGGAGAATGATAAAGCAGAACAAATCACAGAGAAACTGACCCAAGTCCCTCATTTCCTATGAGCTACTGGATGATGCCTTAGCTAAAGTTTAACTACAAGATGTAATCATTTCCTTTTTTTTGTTTTGTTTAAGCCAGTTTGAATTTAATTTTCTATCACTTACAATATAAAAATAAAGATGAATTTCAGTGAATTCTTCCCAAAGGCAAAGCATTAACTGATTTCAATGTGTAGTTCCATTTTTGAAGGGACAATTCTTTGTTTTGTGGGACCATTCCAAATATCATAGGACACTAAGCATATCTGACCTCTACTGTCAATGGAACCTGTCACAATTACTGTGACAACCAAAAATGTACCCTTATATTTTCAAATGTTTCACCCTCAAGTAACCACAAATCTATTTCATTGTAGTTGTTGTATCTGCTTTTTTTTTTTTTTTTGTATTGGGGGTACATTGTGGCATTTACAAAAGTTCTTACAATGTATCATAGTTGAATTCACCCCCTCCATAGTTCTCTTTAATCCCCTTTCCCTATATATTTGTTTCTTACAGTAGCTCTACCATGTATACTTAAAATCAATCTTAAAAGAATCCAAATATTTTAATATACCACTCAAATTTTTTAGTTTTACCCGATTCGTTTTAAACGGTCATTAACAATTATCTAAATGTTTGGCCAAAATTGTAGGTATAGCTTACATCAATTCTTGAGGTAAACAGTGCTTTCCTTAAGTTTTCTACTACTGTTTGAACATTCTCCTTTGTTTAAACTTACTTCTCCATACAATACTACTGAGGTTTGTCACTGACCTTGTTTGTTACCCCATCTTCAGTCATTTGCCCACCTTCTTCCTATATTGAAAAACCACATACATATTGGTTTCTCAGTCTTCTTACCATTAGGGCATGGCAAATGGAAGTCATAAGACTTCTGTGAAAAGTGTGCTTGCCTAAACAAGAGATGAGGGGCAAACTTCCACTTGTCTTCTATAGCTCTGTGAGAATGTGATGCCTGGGGCAGAAAATGCCACCTGCCAACCATGATAGAACAAGTTTAAGTCCAAAGGTCAGCACACTAAAGATAGTCAAGCTTAAAGATGGGAAGCACTGGATCCTTGATAATCTCATTGTGCAGGTAAATTGCTAGCCATGGAATTCTCCAATTCTTTTTCATAGATTTCAAACCAAGACTAAAAGATCTATATGGTTCAAAGTCAATGTTCATCCTACTATACCACGTTCCTAGAATGAAAGAATGAGTCTTGAAGGAAAACATATAAAGTGGCAATGGCAGACTCAAAATTCAAAATGACCTCCTACAATTGACCAGCACAAAGTATTTGTATTAGGCAGCCCTGGAGAAGACACAAGCATGCATATAGGCCAGAGAGGGAGAGACTGAAAAGAGGACAAGAAAAGGGACAGTTCTAGAGAAAGAGATGGGAAGGGATGATCATGGACACATCTGGAGGGGATTGCTCTTGAAAAGAAGGAAAGACATTTCTTCCTCCGAGATAGAGTAAATAAGGAGTTATTGAGGAAAATATGGGATGTAGAGGGAGTTAGCAGCCATGACTTTCCACTATCCCTTCAAATTGAAAGCACAGAACTGACAGACAAGCTCTAAAAACAGGCAGTCTTTGGTTGTTCACAGTATCTAAAAATTTAAAAGGTCCACCCAAAAGGAAAACTGTATTATTTACATTTTTAATTCCACTTCTACAATTTTGGGACCCTTGACAGATTATCCAACTGGGGAAAGATGAAGCTATCTGTTTGTGGTGCTGGGGACCCAATCCATGGCCTAGAACATGCTAGGCAAGCGCTCTACCACTGAGCTACAACCCCAACCCTCCAAAGCCACTTCGATCCTGCAGTTTGCACTTACAAATTCTGGCAAGGTACCACGTTATTCGGGACAGTTTCTTACATAAATAATTGTGATTACCACTGCCACAGTAATAAGGAAAGAACTGAAGCAGGCACGAAAACAGCAAGTACTGTAAGAATTGTTAAGCAGTAGCAACAACTGAGAATACAAGAAATTTGAGAAGTTTTGAGCTTAAAAAGCTCTTCTCCATTTTTGTCCTTTTTAAATAAAACAAAGGGCTTGTACAATACCGGATTTAAAAACTGCAGTGTGCAATTTAAGCTAACACCCTTTCTCGTGCCCATTTCGTGATACCTTACATTTATAAGGTCTTCTGTTTTAAAAGGAATACAACACCTCCCAGTTCTTTCACTGGATTCACAAAGCTCACACCTTTGCCTGAGAAGTTCGGAGACCAAAGATTTATTACAAGGAAAGCTATTAAAGGTTGAGATGAACAATCTTTGAAATCACAGGCACCATTCCTCTGCTCTGCAGGAGTTCCCGGGGTCAAGGGATCCTGGGGACTCCCTCCTCCAGGTAAGCAGAACCCCCTGGCCTCTGGATAACAAGCCTTTGCTTTGTAAGTCCACAGGCCGAGTTATCGGGTGATCTTCCCGGCTGGAAAACTAAAAACTTTGCAAGAAGGTCGAAATGAGGAAGAAGAGGAAGCAACCAACGCAGGCGGGTGACCCACCCACCCACCTACTGGGGAAGGCTCGCAGGGCGAAACTTCCGGGGCCGGGAGGGGTGCGGAAGGCGGCGGGCACAAGACCCGCACCCGCTGCCTGGGAGCGGCGGCCCTGCGCGGCCGGGGGCCAGCCGGAGGCCTTCGAGGGGGCGCGAGCCGGGGCGGGGACCAAGACCCCCGCGGCCCGGGGCGGCGGCGGGGAAACGCCGAGGAAGCTTAGCCCAGCAGGAGACGCGAAGCCCGCTTCCTCACTCACCTGCCGGACGCTCGCCCCGCGACCAGAAGCACGGGGACCGCCTGGGCGCTTCCCCTCCCGTGGGACGCAGCCCCTGCCGCCGCCGCCGCCGCCGCCGCCTGAGCCACAGGACCCGCGAGTCGAGGATGGTACCGGAGCGGGCAAAGCGGCGACCGGCCCCGAGAGCAGGGACGCGTACATAAGGGGCACCGGGAAGGCACCTCCGTGCTTCGCCTTCCTCACCGGTAGCCGACAGCGCCTCCCGGGAACAGCATCGCGCCAGCCTCGGCCCGCTGCTCCCGGGCCTTAGCCCGAAGCTCCCCCCGAGCAGCGGCCGGGTTTCCGGCGGCCACACCCCGCCCCCTCTCTACTTGGCTTCCGCCATCTTGCTGGAGGCGGGAAGGACGCAGTGCGCAGACGCGAGCGAAGAGTGCGCCGGTGAGGGACCGCACTGCGCAGGCGCCTGGGCTCTGCGGGTTTCCCCCCCCCCACTCCCCTGCGGAGTCCCGTTTGTCGCTGCTGTCTTGTGCACCACTGCTGCCGGGAGTCGCCACACCTACTCGCCTTTCTCGACTGTGCTGCGGCCAAATTACTAGACCTGTTTGCGCACACCACAATTATTTTGCAAACGTCTATGGGGCGCCCACCTTGTGCCAGGACCTCGGACGAGGCGCTGATGATAGGAAGCGGAGTAAAAAGGCTGCAGCACTAAATAGCTCCTAATCTAGTGAAGAAGGTGGAAATGACGGAGTACTTGTTTTGTAGCTGCTCCCCTAGCCCCCTCCTCAGTTTTAATTCAAAACATGCCTCTTCCGGAAGTCCCCCAGATTGTTTTACACACTCATCAGCCTTTACCTTGCATTACCTCCCCATCTTAATTTTCATTGTTAACAGTATCACTTGGGTTTCTATTACATGCTAGACACTGATCCGGGCTCCTGGATTATAGCAATAATAAATATAAATTCATGGGATTTACATTCTAGTGTGAAAGAATAGACAAAAATTGAAATTAATAAAATAATGTCTGATGGTAATAAGGTGTAGGAAGAAACCAAGCCAGAGAAAGATTATGGAGAATAACAGGCATCGATGAGCCATCTTTCTCCAAAGGTAACATTTGACCTGAGCCCTGACTAAGCAGAAGGGGCCAGGAGCCATGGGAAGATCCTTGGGTAGAACTTTTCAGACAGAGGGAGCAGCAAAACAGAGGATTGAGGAGGGAATGAATCTGTTGTGTAAGAGTGACAGAAAGAGTAGGTTGCATAGACAGTGCCAGGAGGTGTGGTGAAGGGAGGCTGTGGTCAAATCAACTAGGGCCTTGAAGCCATGGAAGCTGGTTAATTTCAAATGGCCCCTCTACCTTGTTGACACTGTCTGCAGGACTCCTGTTCAAACAGTTCTAGCTTCTGACTGCCTCACTGTTTTGAACTACCTTTTGCTCTTTATATGTCTGACTTCGTATTAACCTTTACATTTCATTTTAAATGTCACCTCAGAAAGGCCATCCTTCCTACATAAGCCTCCTTCCTGTGGTACCCATTATTCTCCATCATTGCATCTTAGCATTTCTTCCATGACACTCAGTATGCTTTTGAACAACATCTGTGTGTGTGTGTATATGTGTGTGTGTGTGTGTGTGTGTGTGTGTCTTTGACAGGGTCTTGCTATGTAGCACAAATTCTATGGCCTAGATCTTGTGATCCTCCTGCTCAGCCTTCCAGTTGCTGGAATTATAAGTGTGTACCACCATGCCTGGCCCCTCAATATGTTTTTAAATTATGTTTTTATTGTTTTTTTAACTGTCGCCCCACTAAACAGTCAACTCCAGAAGAGGGAGAAGATAATTTACCAGTGAATACCCAATGCTTAGCATCATGCCTGGCAAGGATGGCCACTCAGTAAATCAACAAATGTCAGTTGAATTAATGAATGTGGAAGTTTGGCTACATCTAAATAGGTAAGGGTGTACTACATTATTCTTTTACTTCTTGGTTTTAAACTTAAGTCATTTCCTATTTATATGTCTTCACAACCAAATTGTAAAAAGAAACCTCAGAAAAAAAGAGTAAATGTGATAGAGAATGTGGGGGTAGTAGGCAGAGATTGTGATTGTACTGGATCTGTTTGTAGGGCTGGGAGAAGGCAAGCTTAAGTTAATGAAAAACCTATGATATGTGCTATGTTCTATGCTAGAAACTTAATCCTCACCATAGTCCCACCAGATAGTTATCCTTATTTTATACATGGGCAAATATAGAGAGCTTAAGTCACTTACCCAAGGAATTGGCAGTTGAGAAATAGTGCTGACCCTTAAAACTCATGTACTTCCCATTTAGAGGAATTGGATTTGATGACAAGCTTATTTGGTGATTTGACTCCATGTCAATAGCAGGCTTTCTTTAGAGATTTCAGCTACTATCATTTAAGAATTCGAATCATATTGCTGTTGTTGCATAGAGTCTCACCAAAGGCCTGACTGGAGCAGAGCTCTTTCTACCATTTTCTTTTTATTTTTTAAAAATTCATACTTCTTTTTATTAATAACTTATGTGCATTTTACTATAGGAGAAGAAGAAACACCTGCAAAATTAATACATATCCTAAATGCTAGCTCATCCCTTTGTTAGGCTTCCTTACTATGCTTAACTAGTTCTCACATCTGTTCCCACAATTTGCTCCTTAGAGCTCAAAGCCACTTCTCTGTCAGAGTTACAGGCTCTGCAACAATTTCTTCTATTTGTTCTCAGAATTGTATACCATCATTTCCCTCTATACAGATTAGCTGACTCATGGTTGGGGAAAAGTACTAGAAAGTACAAAGCTGCTGCCTTATTTGTGGGGGTCATTCAGTCTTTATATGAGGTAAGAGCAACATTAAACTCACGATGACATATGTTTGTAAAGCAAACCCAATCAGTCCATGTATAAACCAGGGTGGGAATATATATCTATAAGAATCACCCCTACATTCTATGTCACTGTCAAGTAACTCTTAGAATAAATCCTGGAAACATGACAATGTCTTTGGTTTTATTGTATTTTCATCTGTTGTGGGTCAAATTGTATTACTCCCCAAAAGATATGTTGAGATTCTAACACCACTTCTAAGGAATGTGACCATAATTGGAAATAGGGACATTGCAGATACAATTAAGTTAAAATTGGGTTACAAAGCTGGGCACAGTGGTGTATCCCTGTAATCTCAGCTATACAAGAGGTGTAAGTAGGAGGATCATGGTATAAGACTGCCACTACCCCCTGCAGAAAGGATGAGACACTCTGTGTAAAATACTTTAAGAAAAAGGGTTAGGGGCATGGTTCAAATGGTAGAGTACCTGCCTAGCAAATGTAAAGTCTTGAGTTCAAACTCCAGTACTGTCAAAAAATTAGGTTATTTCAGTGGGGAAGGTAACCCAATATGACTATTGTCCATATAAGAAGATGACCATGTGAAGAAAGAGACAGAAAGAGAAGATGCCACAGGAGAACAAAGACAGAGATTGGAGTTTGCAGCTGCAAGCCAAGGAATGCCAAGTATGGCCAACAAACAATCAAAAGGTAGGAAAAGGCAAGCAAGGATTTCCCTGCAGGTTTCAGAGGAAATATGGTCCTGATCACACCCTGATTCTGGATTTATATCCTTCAGAACTGTGGGTCAATAAACTCCTGTTTTATTAAGTCACCCAATCTGTGGTACTTTGTTATAGTACCTCTAGGAAATTAATACACCTTCTTACATATATGGCCTGGAATAGAGGAAAGGGATGGGGTAGGAAGTGAAGAGACCTGGGCTACTGCCACAACTTGGCAGCAAACCAATGACAAATTCTCATGTCAGTCACTGAGCCACAGTTCCTCATGTGTATAAACAAGGATAATGATAGCTGCCCTTCCTACCTCAGAGATCTCCAGTGATAACTAACAAGTATTTGTCCTGTGATGCTGTGACCAAGAGGGTCTGACAGATACTGAGGAATAATTATGCAAAAGACAGGGTTCCTTGCCATAGGGAATTCTACAGTTTGGCTTAGATGACAGGCACTTGTCTATGATAAGATAACTAGCAGAGGCCAGGTGCCAAGTACATGGTTTGGATTTTAGTCACTATTAATGCCGAAAGCAGGAAGGATCTTGTGGACTGGGGAGGAGAGGGGGACTTCATGAAGGGTCTTCACAGAAAAGAAATTTATTAGAAAGTTCTTGGATACCTACAGAATCTTTAAGAGCAACACTCAGCTTTATGCCCTCAGCTGGTCTCAAGAAGCCAGCACTGTAGCCACAACCAAATGTAGATCCCAAGTGGGACTGCCAGTATCTATCACTTAACCTGGATGTTGGATGATGCTACTGCTGTTCATGGAAACTAGATACAGTTACACTGCCACTACTCTCAACAGAGTGGAGGGTCACTTCATCTTCACAATACTAACCTTCAGCCTAAAGTCTATAATGGGGTGAATGATTAACACCACCCAGCCATTCTTTAACACTCTAGCTGCATGCTGTTCAGTAGAAATACAATGTAATGCAATTTTAAATTTTCTAATACCCACATTAAGAAAGGATATAAAAACCAGGTGGAATCAATTCTAATAATACAGCTCAATATATCCAAATAATATAATAGCTCAATATATCCAAAATCTTACCATTTTAACATGGGCACTAGCCATACTTGAATTGCTCAGTAGTCATATGTGGCCAATGGGTAGTGTATTTAGTAACACAGCTCTAATTGATAGGGAGGGTGGGAGAATGAGTACAGCATATGAACTTTTAGTTTCCATAGTGAGAAGCAGGTTCTGCTTCATAAGGAAGGCAACTTCCTAATGTAGAAAAAGTGACCAGACGTCGTCTTATAAATGGAAGACAAAATTGCAGTAAAGCTAAGACTGGATTGAAGAAGATGGAAAATGATAGACTAGGGACTTTTTTATTAATTTTATTTCATAGTGACTGGGAGTCACTAAAAGTTTGCAAACTAGAAAGGTACTTTGAAATTTTCAGAAAGAACTGAGCATATGTAAATAATGAATTGAAGAACACTTGAAGTAGAATTGGAAATCCTAAGCTTTAGTTATAGCTTCTATCTGTGCAACGTTAGGAAGATTGCCTCTCTGGATCTCTCTTTTTATCTTCAGAAATAAGTCTGATAGTATCTATCTGAGGCTTGTCACGAGAATTACATAAAATAGTACAGGTGGAAATACCTACCATCTACTATAAGATTCATGGTTCTCAAGAGAAATACAACCAATTTGTGTGTTGGTGTAGATTTATTCTAGGAATTGGCCTTATGGAGGCCAAGAAATCCCATGATCTACTCTCTGCAAGCTAGAAGGAAAGCCAGTGGTTAATTCTGCCTGAGTCCAAAAGCCTGAGAATTGGAGGGTATGGGGGAGAATGTGTGGAGGAGGGCTGATGGTATAGGTCCTAGTCTGAATCTGAAAGCCCAAGGAACTAGGAGTGTCTATGGCCAAGAGCAGGAGAAGATGCCCATCTGCGTTGGTGAGATCTTCTTTACTTAGCCTGCCACTTCAATGTGAGTCTCTTCTGGAGACACCCTCCCAGACACAATCAGAAATAACGTTTTATTAGCTGTCTGGGCATTCCCTAAACCTAGTCAAGTTCATAAAATTAACCATCATATCCGGAAAACACTCAATAAATACTACTTAAATCTGAATAAATCTGAGTATCTGGTCTAGCTAAACAGCAAAGAGGTTGGACTGTTTCCCTAAATCCAAAGGGAACTCTAAGACAAATCCTAAATATATGTGTTTCATTTATCTCTGTTCTGCCTCATCAGGGACAAGTTAAAATGTGTACTTGTTTGCTGAGTAGCCCATTCCTTCCTTGATGCCCTTGCTGGTCATCACGAGCCCAAGGTCAGGTCTCAATTTATAGCCCAGAGTTCTCCTTTGGATAATATGCTATTATTGTTTGTTGGGGTTCATTCCTTGGCTCCTTCATTAGGTGCATACAAGAGGGCATAGACTATACCTTACTCATTTTTGTATCTAGCTCCCACAATTCTTGAACTGAAAGCATTCAAATAAACAAGAGCAGCAAAATTTAATAATTTTAGAAAGTAGATAATAAGAATCATGATTATTTGTTATATTAGTCTTACTACTTTTGCATAAGCTTGGACATTTTCATAATAAAAACTTTTTAAAAAAGTCATCCGAAAGTTCACTGTTTTGTGACATAACATCCTATAAAATTCACAGGCAAAATTCTAGTGTGTGAACGCTATGGGTCAGTCTGAATATTTTGTGTTCTGTAATTTTTATCACTTATGTAATATTTGCAATACATTTTTTCACCACTATACCAACAAAGATGCAGCACACTTTTAAACTTGAAGGCAAATTTTTCTACTATTGAAAGGCGTCTTTCAATGACTGGACCCTTACTTGTGTCGTACTAAGTTGGGGACTGCATCTTCTGTTTTTACATCATTGATAACAAATATCAATTTTATGTGAAAAGTACATTTCACGTGGTATTTTTCCCTTGGTAGCAGAGATGACACAGAATTAATTAATTCCTCTGTGTTTAGAGATAACTGATCATGAAAGTGGGGAAGAATTGTGATTAAAATTGTCAGTCCTCAGTAGGAAGTATGTTACATTGGCTGAATTCACAGGTTACCTCTGTATGTGCTGATGAAGGTGGAAAGAACCTTTACAAAGCAGGTAATCTGATAAAATTTCAGTAGAGTAGGGTTGGGAGAGCATCCTAACAGAATTATTGTGTCTTGAAGTTGCTACATGGGAATAATTTATGTGCCCTCATTGGAACCTTAATGAGCAGTGAAATCAACAGTAGAAAACAAGCAGGGCTGGGCATAGCTCAGTGGTAAAATGCTTGCCTAGCATTTTTGAGGCCCTGAGTTCAATTGTTAGCACCAC